TCTTCTAGTAACACCGAGGTATTCCGAGCCCTCCAACAAATGATGGAACGAATAGCCAGGCTAGAAGAATCCCGACCGCAAAACCCACCCGCTCGAGAAACCACCCACCATAACCGAGAACCCGTTGCCCGTCATATACCAAACCGAGAACATAGCCCCGAAATCCATAGTGGGGATGAGAGCGAGATAGGACCCCGGAGGAGGCAACGAGGGAGAGCGGTAGAAAACATAAGAGGCCGTAACCCGTACCCTAGACATGAAACCCCTAGAAACCGTGAGAGATTAGCCGAGGAAGGGACGGATTACGATGAACCCCCTCGAGCCTATAGACACCGAGATAGGATCGATGTTGAGGGTTCCGACTACGATGAGCCACCTAGGAGACGAGCCCCACCGAGGCCGAGAGTTAGAGCCCACCCTAGGCGAGAGGTCAACGATGACTTAGACGATCCTTATCTAGAACAGCCCCGTGGTTATCGCGGATCAACCGAGCTCAAGCTCAAGCCTCCCCTCTTCCTAGGTAAAGTAGATCCCGAGGCGTATCTCGATTGGGAGCGACGGATGGATAACATTTTCGAGTGTTATTCCTATTCGGAGCGTAAGAAGGTGCAATATGCTGCCGCCCAACTGGCCGAAAACGCCCTCACTTGGTGGGATCGTGAGGTTAATGAGCGTAGGCGAGGCCACTACGCTCAGGTCGAAACGTGGCGTGAGATGACAAATCTCATGCGAAAGCGTTTCGTACCCCCTCATTTCCATAGGGATCTTCAACGAAGGTATAGGCGTCTAGCGCAAGGAACTAGATCGGTTGACGAATATTACGAGGAGTTCGAACGTATTAGGAGCCGACTAGAGCTAGACGAGGACGAAGAAACGGTTATGGCACAGTTCATAGACGGACTGCAGGATAAGATCGGCCGCAAAGCGGAGCGCCATCCGTACCGAGACCTTCAGGATCTCGTACACCTAGCTGTACAAATCGAGCAACAAGAGAGACGTAAGTCTTCTAGGCTAGGAAAACCCCGGGCGTATACGCCAGGAACCTCTAGTACGCCATCCAAGCCGACACCTTTTAGGAGAGAGGTCCCCGAGAGCCGAACTATACCCAGTTACCGGGACAAAGGAAAGAGTCTAGAAACTCCTGACCCGAAACCCCAGCCCGAGCTTACCAAAGACACTCGAACACGCGAAATCATTTGCTATAAGTGTCGCGGGCGAGGCCATATGGCCAAGGA